ATAGTAAAAAAAGAAATAAATAAACAAACAGTTTTGAAAACTTCGGTTTTCATATTTTCCTGCTTTGTGTGTCAACTTTCACGGTTGCTAAGCAACAGAGCAGGGTAGACCTGGTCGAATTCACAGCCAAAACTCTTCCGGTCTCCTTATTTTCACGGACTGGGAAGGATCCAGTCCAGGTAGACCGGGTCCTTGGAGGATGCAGCCCATGGATTCGAACACAGCCCGTGTTTCTGGTCAGGACCTCCTTAGAACCATAGATATCCATAATAAAGGCCTTTATTATGGATATATATATTATAAAAGCCTTTATTATGGATATCTATGCTTAGAACCTCACCGCTCCTGTTCTCATTGGATGTTGAGTTGGAAAAGGAGGGGCTCTGCTGAACTCAGCAGCCAATAGCAGCCGGGTCCCACCCCATGTGCTTGTGACGTATTTCCGCCTGCTAGCTGGATGCTACCGTGTTTGCTTCAGGATGTAATAAAGTTTGGTCCGAACTAGAAGAGAAACCGGAAGCAGGTTTATGGACTCTTTTCTGTTCAATAATCGCCGCTGTTGGTTCCGAGAAACCAGAACCGAATCCGAACTGGCAAACGTCAGGACCGCGTTTCTGCTGCCGCGCTGCCTGATGGGTAAAATGCTAACGACCAAGCGGCGGTGATTGGTGGAGACAGAGACACCTGAGGACCGATTGGTTCCGGTGGGCCGAACCCGGGAGGACCGGGTCCACTTCACAGGTACCCTTCTAGGCTGGAGGTCCAGAGGAGCATCCGAACCAGAACCTTCTGGACCAAACCAACTGCCAGGTAGGACCACTCAACCCCAGCAGCTTCTTCACACTCTAGATCTACAGGGTTCTGATGATGTGGGTCAGAAAACAGAAGCAAGAAGAAAAGGTCAGAGGTCAGAAGCTTCAGTCACAATCTGGGTTTGTTCTGAATCCACATAGAACAGCATAAAATAGAACAGAAACACATAGAACAGCACCACATAGAACAGCACCACATAGAACAGCATAATATAGAACAGAACCACATAGAACAGCACCACATAGAACAGAACCACATAGAACATAACCACATAGAACAGCATAAAATAGAACAGAACCACGTAGAACAGCACCACATAGAACATAACCACATAGAACAGCACCACATAGAACAGCACCACATAGAACATAACCACATAGAACAGCATAAAATAGAACAGAACCACATAGAACATAACCACATAGAACAGCATAGAACAGCACCACATAGAACAGCACCACATAGAACATAACCACATAGAACCACATAGAACAG